GCAGGTGGTGCTTGGTCCAGCACGCGCCACCTTTCTTCTGGGCGGGGACTTGGGTTCCAGGGCCCTGCCCCCTTCCGGGCTCTCTGTGGTTGTTGCTGCCAGCGCTCACCTTCCTTTACCCAGGTATGAGCAGTTTCCCCAAGCAAGAGGCCTTTGTCCATGGGGTAGGGGGGAGCCTGAAAGCCACAGGCCTCCAGGTTTTCTTAGCTTTCTGTCCCCCCAGCCTGTGTTCTGTGACATCCACACCTGGGATAGAGGCCCTCTCCCGGGATTTGCCTTTTACACCCCTTCAGCCCTGTGCCAGCTGTGGGAGAGTGGTGGTCCGTGCAGGTGCTGGTCTCCTGCTCTGGGGATGCTGCTTCAGTAGGCCTGGAGGGGAGGACCAGGGAACCTGCAGTTACACACTTAAGGTGGGAGAGAGCTGGAAAGTGAATCTCTTTCAGGTTTGTTTCTTCAAAGTTTTTACTTCGTTTCTTAGTTGTTCATCCTGAAGCCTTGCTCTTTGTGACAGTTCTCTACCTCCTTTTACTGTCTTCTGCCTCGGGACGCCTCTGTTCCTGTCACCCTCCTACAGGGAGGGGGAGGACCCAGGCCCAACAACACAGTAGGGTCCAGGGTGCAGTGTGCCTGGCTGACAGTTCCTAGCGGCTTTTAACAATGGGTGATCCTGGGAGACTCAGCTGCAGAGCTGGAGCCGCCCACCCTTCCCCTGCAGGACTCTGCCCGGGTTCCCTTCTTGCCCTCACCTGCCTGGGGAGCCAGCAGCCTTTGTGGGTCTCCTTGACAACAGGATGGAGAAGTTAATAATAGCCTTGTGTCGGGCCTTCTGTGCATGTGTGCGTGAGTGCAATCCTGGTGGCTTCTGTATGTTCCCGAAGTGCCCCTGTGGGAGCCTCAGTGAAGCCCAGGTGCTTGCATTTGAAGCCATGAGGTTTGGGCACCAGGTCCACATAGCTGGGTAGCAGCATCACCTGGTTTTCTGGTGGGTGTCAATGTTAAAGATGGGAGAGCTGTTCTGAACACCTCGTCTTTGTTTAGTCTAAGCCAGTGGTTCTCAACCTTCCTAACGCTGCAGCCTTTTAATACAGTTCCTGTGGGTCGCGACCTACAGGTTGAAAACTGCTGGTCTAAGTGGAGAGGGGGTGGTTCTGGAGGCATTCCTGTGTTTCATCACAATCTCTGGGGTGGTGGAATAGGACACAGCCTTGAGTGGGAGGTTGGTTATATCTTTTTAAGGGATCCTCGAAGGTCAGAAGGGCCCTTCCTGTGCCCCCTCTATAAGGTGAGGACACCAGAGGACAGAGGCACTTGGGTGACTTCTCCACAGCAATCTGGCCCTGCTGCAGCAGTGGGGAGCAATGCCTTGTTGTCAGAAGCTGTGGCTCTTTTCCTGGACCCTAGTGACAAGGCCATCTTACGTGCCAAGGCCAGCTGTGCTAGTGAAGGCCCTCTTTTTTGTGGTCTTGTCACAGTTGTACATTAATTTAGAAGTAGCTGTCTCCATGGGGGCAGAGTGTAGGTTTCTCTTTACTACACCTAGAACTAAATTTTCTCTCTCCCTACCCCGCATCCTTCCTGCCATTAGTAGGTATTTAGCTGTGTGCCAGCCTTGGGGATATAAATAAGAATGGCTATGGTCCTGTCTTTAGGAAGCTTATGGTCAGCCAGGGAGACAGTTACAAAAAAGTCCCCATTGTGGGCTCAGTGATTAAGGCACCGGCCACATAAACAGAGGTTGGTGGGTTCGAACCCAGCCTGGACCTGCTAAAAACAACAATAACAACTACAACAGAAAAACAGCCCAGCATTGTGGCAGGTGCCTGTAGTCGCAGCTACTTGGAAGGCTGAGGCAAGAGAATCCCTTAAGCCCAAGTGTTTGAAGTTGCTGTGAGCTGTGACGCTACTGTCCTCTGCTGAGGGTGACGTAAAGAAACGCTGTCTCAAAAAAAAAAGAAAGTCCCTGTGTGGCCAGTGGTGAAAGGGAGAAGGTTCAGGTGGTAGGAGAGCAAATGACTGGAGTGCCTAACCTTGCCTGAGGTGAGGGTGAGGGTCAGAGTAGACTGAGGACGAATCCACCACGCACAGTACTTAAGTACAAGTGCATCATGGCTCCTGCAGATCAGTAAAAAGGGAGGCAGAACGCTCAGTAGAAAAACTGGTCAATAATTTGATGAACACTTCATAAGGAAGATCTCTGAGTGGCCAGTGAACATGTGAAACAGTGCTCAGCTCCGCATGTTTCTTAGTCCGCAGGGAAGTCAGACGGCCGGGTTAATGTGGTGCGTCGGGCCAGACGTTTAACTCCCAGAGGCCCTGTCTCTTACTGTGAACAGGGCTCTTCCTTCCCTGTCCCCAGGATGTGCTCAAGCTTACAGGCGTGGGAAGTGCTCTTCAGACTGTACAGATGCTAAGTATTGTCACTCTATGTAATTGTAAGTGATTTGATTTCTCTCCCACCTCTTCTCACAGCAATTTTTCTAAGTTCTAAGAAATAAAAGACTCTGGCAGCGCCTGTGGCTCAAAGGAATGGGGCGCCGGCCCCATATGCCAGAGGTGGTGGGTTCAGGCCCAGCCCCGGCCCCAAACTGCAAAATAAATAAATAAATGAATAAATAATAAAGTTGTAATTGTTATTTAAAAAAAAAGAAAGAAATAAAAGACCCAAGTAGCGGGAGGTTCCTAGTGTTCAAGATAGGTACTGCTCCTTGGTACTTTGGGTAGAGCGCTTGTTGCTGGCATGGCTCTGATGCCTGTCTCGAGCAAGGTAAGTTCCTGGAGGTGTTTTCTTCCTGGCGGGGCCTGGGCAGCAGCTCTTTATGAGTAACAGCAAGGTCTGCTGCTGCCCAGGGCCTGGCGGCAGGGAAGGGACAGAGGCGGCCCCTTCCTGGCTCAGGCATTGACTTGAGTAGGCTGCCTGGTGAGTCTTCCACACCTACTGTGGCACTTACAGATTGCTCTTTTAAGTCCAGAACTGATACTCTGGGCTTTGGGTTATGTCAGCATTAACAGGTCTGTGGGGACAATAGCCCACACAGCTGGCCAGGCTTCCCCCTAAAGGAGCTTGGTTGGTGTCACTGGCTGCCCTGGCAGGCTCAGCAGTAAGCCCTTGGTAAAATCAGTCACAGCTGTCCCTTTGTGTTCTTTGGACACAAAGCAGCCTTTTTCTCTCTGATCTGGATCCACCCTCCCAGGTGAGCAGATCCTGTGTGCTGTGTACCCACACCTCTCCTCCAGCCGAGTGTGGCCAGTTCCCTTGGCATGTGTCAGGACAGGATCAAAATTGCTTTTAGTCCCGTCACCTGACTATCCCAGATCCTCAGGCCACATTTGGACTCTTCCCACAGATCTCCTGTGATAGGCAGACGCTTCTCCATAGTCTCCTCAGCACTTCTGACCTTTTGCTCACTTGTGTTTCTGTTGTGCAGGAGTCAGAGTTAGAAGCTAAGTTAGATGGAGAGACTGCATCGGACAGTGAGAGCCGGACGGAACCTGCGCCCCCGCCAGCCCCTGCAGACGATACCCCGGAGGTCCTCAACAGGGCCCTTTCCAACTTGTCTTCAAGGTAACTGGGCCTAATGGTGCAGGTGCTTGTGGGACCTTGTGTGGTGTCCAAGTGCCGGGCAAGCCCCAGAGCTCTCAGCGAGCCTGTGGTGTTGTGGGGTGAGCCCACTTCTGTTACGTGTTTTGTGTACAGGGCAGGCCTCCTCACTTGCCTCGGCCTCCCTGCCTTTCCCTGCCTGGGCTCCACTGAGTGCAGTCTGCTGCTCAGCAGTGGCTGACAAGGAGGAGAGGGAGGGTGACCCCGACTGGAGGATCTTGTCGTGGAAGGGAGCTGAAGGCTGGGCTGGAAGTACTGTTCCAAGGAGGAAGAAGAGCGGGGATGGGGGCGGGCAAGGTTGGCTGACACAGTGAGTGACAGGAAATTGTCCTTGGGCTTTTGACTGATAGGTAGGCTGCTCTTCACCGAGGAGGAGTCAGGTTTCTAGTTGAAAGTGTAGTTTTCCCTCTCCATGTGCGTCCATTGTAAACAATTCTTTAAGTTCTCTAGAAAGAATTAGGAAACATCTCAGCTCAAGTAAATCTAGGGTTAAAACTTTGGCCCTTGAGAATCTGGTTCTTTCTCTAGAAAGAATTAGGAAACATCTCAGCTCAAGTAAATCTAGGGTTAAAACTTTGGCCCTTGAGAATCTGGTTCTTGTGAGTAGATCAAAAACACAAATTGTTAAGACCCCAGAGCACTGTCCAGGTGTGGCTGTCTGTGCCTCTCAGCTGTTCCTTGAGAGGCTGTACTGGGCAGTGGTTAAGGGCATGAACTCTGTAGCCAGAATCCTAGATTCAGATGCCAGTGTCACCACTGGCCAGCTGTGTGTCCTGTGGCTCCAATCCTTACCCATAAAAGTGAGTTATGTTGAGGCGTTGAAGGTCTTAATATATGTAAAGTCCTTATGCAAGGACCTTGTGCACGTTTGTAGTAGCTGATACTACCATTCTTACTGTTGTTTCCCCATAATGATGAGGGGCAGTACAATGTAGAGTCCTACTGCAGGAAAAATATTCACAGTTTTTCTTCAGATAGAGTCAGACATAGAAAATGTCCAGTATACAGGAGCTGAGGGCGCATTTCCCTTGGGGTTTGGTTTTGATGGGTGTATTTTTCTGGAGGCCTCAGAGCACCTGCTGAGTTTGGTTGTAGGTGAGGCATTGGCACGAGTGGCTTTACTTCTGCCAGCTGTGGCTAGTGCCTTTGTCAAGGTGAATTTGGAAAGGACTGAACTCAGGGCCCTGGAATCTCAGGAAGATCCATTCCACTTGGGTTTGTGCTTTGGTTCTTTCTGGGTTCCTAACAGGTGTTTTCTCTTTCCGCTAATCTCTGACCTAGATGGAAGAACTGGTGGGTGAGAGGCATCCTGACTTTGGCCATGATTGCATTTTTCTTCATCATCATTTACCTGGGACCAATGGTTTTAATGATAATTGTAAGTGTCATCTCTTGCTATTTTAGTTTTGCCTTCAGGTTTTCCTGCAGGACCAGTTGTTTTAAGTGCCAGGTATTGGGTGGGTTGTGGAAATTGATGGGGGTCTGCAGAACACTTATTCTGTGGAATATCTGTGACTTCTCACTTTTCAGCAGCCTACTGGAAGGTCATTGGCATAGGCTAATTGTTTGCAGTTAAAGATGTTTATTTTAAAAATTGACCTTATTGGGCGGCACCTGTGGCTCAGTGGGTAGGGCGCTGGCCATATATATCTAGGGTGGTGGGTTTGAACCTGGCCTCTGCCAAACCGCAAAAACAAGAACAACAATAACAAAAAATAGCCAGGCATTGTGGCAGG